ATTGCTTTGCTGCAGAGGGATTTGGATAGATGGGCACTAAAATGGCAGATGAAATTTAATGTAGAGAAATGCAATGTTTAAAGGAACTTAACATGTATAGCTTGGAGGAAAGACGAGACGGGGGATATGATAGAAACATTTAAATATATAAAGGGAATTAATACAGTAAAGGAGGAGACTATATTTAAAAGAAGAAAAACTACCACAACAAGAGGACATAGTCTTAAATTAGAGCGACAAAGGTTTAAAAATAATATCAGGAAGTATTACTTTACTGAGAGGGTAGTGGATGCATGGAATAGCCTTCCAGCTGAAGTGGTAGAGGTTAATACAGTAAAGCAGTTTAAGCATGTGTGGGATATGAATAAGGCTATCCTAACTATAAGATAAGGCCAGGGACTAATGAAAGTATTTAGAAAATTGGGCAGACTAGATGGGCCGAATGGTTCTTATCTGCCGTCACAATCTATGTTTCTATGCACTTCGGGGTCAAGAATGCACATGCAACTTACACCCTAAATTGTAGTGAATTAGGGATAACCACACACAAGAAGGATTTGGGAATTGTTATAGACAACAATCAGAGTGGTTTTATCAGAGTCCATACAGATGTTTAAACTGCAATTAGATAAATACTTGCAAAAACATAACATACAGGGATATAATTTCTAATTGGTGGGGTAATAGCTGCTTGATCCAAGGAGACATCTGACTGCTATTTTGGGGTCAAGGGGGAATTTTTTCCTAGTTTGTTGCAAAATTGGATGAGCTTTAGACTGGGTTTTTTGCCTTCTTTTGGATCAACAGCAAAAACATATGTGATGAAGGCTGAACTTAATGGACGCAAGTCTCTTTTCAGCTATGTAACTATGACAACTCGATTCAACTGTTAGCAATATGAACATGATGTCATCACTTATGCTGTAACAAACTATTGTTGCCTTGAATGTACGGTCACCTTGTATTACCTGCTGTCAATACACAAATAAATATATATATATTTTAAACTAACAACAAAGATTTCCTATGTCTTTTTTGGTACTTTTTAGGTGTTCTATCACAGGATCCATAATCTGTAGGAAGGAATGGAGGCTTGCGTTACAGCTGCATTTTACTGAGCTCTGAGCTGCTGGCTCACCATTGCAAAAAGTAGGGTGGACAAGCTGGAGCAGTATTTCCCCTCCATTAGCCCTCTCCACACTTTATCTCGCTGTAATCACTTAGGCCACAAGCCTAAAGCACGACAGCTCGCAGTCGCACCCACTGCACTGCCACTGTAAGCCTACTTGCTTTATGGGATCACTGCCCCCACAATACCAGGGCTCTCTTCCAGTAGACAACACCAATGCTTTGGAGGCGCCTTTTGCCACCTAACTCAGCCCTACAAAGGCATGGTCACATATGCATGTGCCCTTACTTACCTTTTGACTGTTCTTCATGGCCTCTTCTTTCAAGCTCTCAAATATGCATCTGTCTGGGTATTCTCTGTTTGTGATATCAAGAATATTGCATTTACAAGATCCTCTGAGTAGAGCTCACAAACTGAGTTATTTTCATTTTTATTATGAGCATTTTTAAGATAATGACAGCCCCTGCATCACCTCTACCTGCTTCCATACCAACCACGATTTCTACCACTCTCAGACCTTGCCACTTGAACCCTTTTTGTGACATTGAGCCCTTATATGGGATCCCCTCTGAATCCATCCATTTCCCCAATATGTAAAAATCAACATGGGAAAATATTTCTTTTAATAGGCACTATTCACATAATCAAATAAGTCACCACAGCCACTACACCTAATTTTTGTTTGTATTTTGGCTTGAAGTGTGTCTTCATCAGGTATTCTTTAATACCACATAATAGCTCCTCTCATCCCTGTCAGACAGCTTACTACGTCGCTACCGTACTTGTATAATAGATGGGTATGGTGGCTGTGTCATCCTGCAATTATTGAGTCACCAGATGTATATTATATCTTTGCTTCTGTTATACTGTTTGCTAACTTTTTAAGTGATAGTTGACTTTGTTTTTTGTTTTTATTCAGACATAATTCTTGAACACCATTTTTCCATTTGTGTACATATTACAATTATTAGCTATGCAAGTTCCTTGTTATAATGCTGTTTTTTACCCGAGGTTCTGCAACACCATATATAGTGATAACTCTTGCAAATTAAAAAAAAAATAATAATAATATTCACAGGAAAAAAATTAACTTCTCACATGGTGTTTGATAGTCACGATAAAGACAAGGAAGAACAAAGAAAATTACAGTTGAGTCATGTACAGGTGGGGGTTTGTCATAGGACATTTTTTAAAACTTTTAACCAGACACCTGGGATCGCTGCCAACGTTTCCCCTGAATCAAAATTTTTGGGTAATGGGTGTATGTGACGAAGTGTCCTTCGCCACTTGTGCCTGGAGAGGACTAATTACCAGCCTCTTGCCATATGACTATGGTCCCTGGGAGATTTTGCCAGTTAGAAACACCATTTGGACTTATTGGTGTTTTAAAAGACTTCTCTGGCCCTTTAAATGGTACTGGCGCAGCTCTGCAACGTCCAATAACTGTCATATATTCAAACACTGACTGAACTTATAACTGTCATATATTCAAACACTGACTGAACTTAACTGTCATTTTGTTTTTCACTGAGGAGAAGTTGTTTTGCTGCATGAGTGCTGTTGCTTTTGTGTTCTCATTAAACAGACCTGCTTGACCCTTTCTTGAAGCCTTGGCTCATGGTTGGGGGATGGGATAAGTCTGCAGTGCTGATGGTGTCGGTTGGGGTGCTTGGAGTCTTTGGCAAGCACTAGGAGCATTGATTGGCGGAGGTAGTCAGTCGGAGTGCCAGCGGGTCCGTCACATTTGGTGGCAGCAGTGAGATGGCGTCCTAGTGCGAGGAAAAGTAGCTCAGAGACACCAGTAGCGTTACCGAGCTATAATTGAGGGCAACACTAGTACTCGTGCAGCGCCCCTGTCTACAGCGGAATCCAAGGTGCGAATCGGAGCACTAGTGGCCCAGAGTGGGGCCAAGCAAACATGACCTATTGCTATGAGGGCGACGCTTACATCATGGAGGTAAAGAGGCGGCTAGTCGAGTATGGCCCAGACCCTTCGGAAGAGGCGATCGTCCGTATCATGCAAGAGTTGGATGAGGGGAAACAAGCTGCACAGGAATGTGAGTTCAGATTGTGGAGACTGGGGCTGGGGACAACCGTTCTCCCTCCCCAGCGGCAGTGCACCGTGCAGAGGGAAGAGACAACCAGTCTCCTTCCCCAGCAGCAACCAGAAGTACCCGAGGTAGCGGACCTCATAGACTGGTCTTGGGAGGACCCCCAACAGGCAGGTGGAGATGGGTCCGAGGTCTCTCCACCGGCCCTTCAGGGATGTTGGGCAGTCGGCCCAGATCACAGCTGTAGCTGGAAGTACCGGGAGTAAGGACAGGCGGTCCTACTCCCCAGCGGCAGTACATCTCACAGGGAGAGGAGACAACTGGTCCCCCTCCCCAGCAGCAGTGTATCCTACAGGGAGTGGAGACAATCGGTCTCCCTCCCCAGCAGCAGTGTGCCTCCCAGGGAGCAGAAGGTGTCGTCCTTCCTCCCCAGCGGCAGTATGTCTTATCGGGAGAAGAGACAACTGGCCTCCCTCCCCAGCGGCTGAATGTGTTAGTGGCAGAAGAGACAACCGGTCTCTCTTCCCAACAGCAACCAGAGGTAGCCGAGGTAGGGGCCCTCATGGACTGGTCCTTGGAGGACCCCCAAACGGAAGGTGGAGACCTAGGTCTCTCCACCGGCCCTACAGGGATGCTGGGCAGCCGGCCCAGATCCCCAACTGCAGTTGGAGCCCCAGGGAGAGGAGACAACCGGTCTCGCTCCTCAGCAGCAGCAGGAGTACCAGGAGGAGGAGGTAGCCGACCCCTCCCCTCCCCTCCACAGCCAACCCCTTAGCCGGTACTGGGTTTAGTGGAGAAGATGTTAGCCTCCACTGACCTCCTTCCAGCAGAAGAGCTGCCATCCGGGCAGAGCACGGTCGGCCTCTGCCCTCCCTTGCCCTCTTGGTCAGAGCCTGAATACCCACCGGCCAGCCCAGCAGAAGCACTGGCATCCGGACAGAGCGTTGCTGGCCTCTGCCCACTAGTTCCCCTCAGCAACCTGGGACATACAGGTCAGAGCCGGACACCAGGAATCACCAGGTGCAGTAATGGTGTATTGTGGGTGGGTGACTCTGTTAACTGTTTGTTGTGGGTGGGTCACTCGACTAACTCAGGTACTGACCGACAGAAGGTCAGGTACCTGGTTAGTCTCCCCCCCAGAGGGAAGATGTGTGACAAAGTGCCCTTCGCCACTTGTGCCGTATGACTATGGTCCCTGGGAGATTTTGCCACTTAGAAACACCATTTGGACTTATTGGTGTTTTAAAAGACTGTTCTGGCCTTTTAAATGGTACTGGCACAGTTCTGCAACTTCCAATAACTGTCATATATTCAAACTCTGTCTGACTTTATAACTGTCATTTATTCAAACTCTGTCTGACTTTATAACTGTCATATATTCAAACACTGACTGAACTTAACTGTCATTTTGTTTTCCTCTGAGGAGGAGTTGTTTTGCTGCACGGGTGCTGTTGCTTTTGTGTGCTCATTAAACAGACCTGCTTGACCCTTTCTTGAAGCCTTGGCTCATGCTTGCGGGATGGGATAAGTCTGCAGTGCTGATGGTGTCGGTTGGAGTGCTTGGAGTCCTCGGCAAGCACTAGGAGCATCGATTGGCGGAGGTACTCAGTCGGAGTGCCAGCGGGTCCGTCACATATGAATGATGTTTTAATTTTGCTAGTTAAAAATTATATGAAATGGTACTTTGTTATTGATGTGGAAATCAATCAATAAATTGATTATCTTGCGTATCTGCCCCCAGCCAAATTAAATAAATAATGTGTGCACACTCCTAAAGTAATTCACACCAGACACAAGTTTTGGGTTAATGAAAAACTTGAGGAATGTTTATTCTGGGGGGACGACATGTCCCTTATAAAGCAAAATTACATCATAAGCATTGTCAGAGATAACATGGAATAATACATCAATAATTGGTTAGGTGTTAAGTGGTTCATTTAGTGCTCTTCCTACCGGGAGTGATGTCACTGGTATGTTGGAGGTCTCCCCCAGATTCCAGCGCCATCTTGTTAACAAGGGTGTTAGTCGATGTTAAAGGGGAAACTCCCTAGCGGCCATTTTAGGTAAGTCATATAGAAAGTTGAATAATGCTGATTATAGTTATGTTGAGTAAATAGGCATTTTACTAACATGGATTGGGTTAATATTTTTGTCCACAACAGTCCCCCCTTAAAATGACTATTTACGAAAGAGAGAGAGAGAGAGAGAGAGAAGAAAGAGACAACTACTGACTGACCCTAATGAGGTCCCTGTTTGGCTGCAGCTCATCTGTCTGAACAGGCCTCGAATGCTTCACTGCGCAGTTATCCCGCAGCGACTAACCCACTACATCTCCTGCATCAGACTCTTACCCGTAGAGACAGACGCTGTCCCTATGCTATCCCTATATGGGAATAGTTGTCTGTTTGAGGTGGTGAGACTGAAGGGGTGTATGTGGAGTGTCACTGTCCATATCATCGATATTCTGATGTAGGAATGTGGGTGTAGTGTGGTCAATAGTCTGGCCTACGGTCTTCTGTAAATATTTCTGCACACAGGGCATTACACAGCAAACTAGGAAGAGAAAGAGAATTATCACAGTAAGAACTGCCATACCTACTTGAAGGAGAGTTTTCTGCCATCCACTCATCCATCCAAACCATTTGTCCCATACGTTGGGGACTCCAGAATTCCTCTTCGTCAGAAAGACTTTCCAGTTTCTCTATAGCCATGGTTACCTTACCGTTAGGGCCTGTGTTGTCTGGGATAAAGGTACAGCATGTCATAGTGTCGGGGAGTATTTTACACACGCCCCCCTTTTCTGCTTGGATCATGTCTAAGGCCATGCGATTCTGAAATGTAAATTTGGGAGGTAGTCTGTAATTGTTCTGCCAAGCCCTGGAGGGCATCTCTAGTGTAATTGACAAATCGTTGTTGGTTATAGTAGATATAATTGATCCAATTAACATGCTTGATAGCGGTGATGAGTGGGATCAAGGATTCGAATCCTGCCGCAACCTCATCTCTGGCTTTGAACTCATTTGGTACTCCAATGGCATCGATATATATGTGTGGGTCGAAACTACCTCGAATGGGGGTTTCTCTTTTTACTCTAAGATACATATGTGGTGAATCGTGTGGGCCTTGGTGATTATCAGAAATTATATGTATGGGCATGATAACTTTGGTCAGAGCACATTCTCCCCACCACAGGCCAGTCATTTTTTATCTAAGTTGCATGTCACCACATAGCCAATAAATATCTCCCACAGACTTAACTTGGTTCACTAATAGGGCAGTGGGAGGTTCTCGATAAGTGGTACAGTAGCCAGAAGGGAATTTACCTACAAATTTACCTGTGGCTCCATGTATTGTATAGCAAGTGTAGTTACCTGGGTACGCGGTGACTCCATCAGGTGGCTTGGTATTTCCTTGGGTTATTGGGTAAACCTTTTTCCATGACACACACTGAGTTCACTGCTGTTTGCGCATAGAGGCTTAAGAAACACGTCTCAACATCAGTGGGTAAATTTAAAGGCACTGTACCCAGATGTGGCCTGGCCCCACCACAAACATAACAGTTAGTTTTGTTGTGAGAATTAGCATTATACCTCATCCATTCAAGCCATAGATTAGTATCTGAAAACCCGGTCTCGACAGCCATAGTGTCTTCAAATGTAGGATTGGCAATGGCTACCATGTCTTTAAGGGTTTTAATGTGTGGTTTTAGAGGGTTAATGGTCATGTGTGTGGAGCCTGCCCAGTCAGGTGATGTAAGCATGTCTTGTAAGTAGAAGGTCCCCAACTTGTTATGTGAGCCACCCCCTTTATAATACATTCCCATTACGTATTCCCCAGCATCTCTTGGGCTGGGATGTTCTATGTTTAAGGTTAGCTTCATTGGGGTAGACCCGGTTGGCTTACACAAGGTCATTCTGTATAACAAGGGTTTCCCATATCTGTCAATTTGGTCTAAGGCACTTTGTGGTCTGTAGCCCCATGGTCAGCCCGTATTCCAACCCGCCGCTTTCCAGTGATGTCCCCAACGGTCACCTGTCACACAAATATATGGGTCCTTTTTATTTGGTATGTCTTTTTATATTGCTGAGTGTTGTGATTGTGGGAAAGTACAAGAGACAATATCACAGTAATCAAAGGTAAAAGTAGCAACGTGTGTGTTTGAAGAATTATACCAAAATGTGTAAACATGATTGTCTTTAGTAGTAGCAACTTGTTGAGCATTTAAGAAGCCTAGCAGCAGACATAGGTATAGCAAGCTCATGATTTGGCGGGATCCGCTTCTTCTGGATCAGGAACTTTCTTGCAGTGTGAAGCGTGTATCCAGGTATTCTTCCCGGCCAACTTTACAGAGGTAGATGTAGTCAATAGGACTTGGAATGGACCATCGAACCTTGGCTCAAGAGTGTGTTTTCTTAGAAACTTCTTGACCATGACCCAGTCACCAGGAAGTAACTTATGTGTGCCTGTATTTGACTCTGGATCTGGAATAGAAGAAAACACATGTGCATGGATTTTGGTCAAGGCATGAGAGAGTGAGTTATATAATCTACCATTGCATCTGACTGAAGTTGAAGTTGCTGAGGAAAGTAACAGCCTAACCTGGGTGCTGTCTCAAATAAGATTTCATAGGGGGATAAGTTAAACTTCCCTCTTGGGGTGTACCTTACACTAAACAGAGTGTCATTCATGCGTTCTACCTTACCACTACTCTGTGGGTGATAGGGTGTGTGGAATGCAAGGGTCATCCCCAGTGTTGCCCAGATCTCCTCGGTTAGCAACACGGTGAAGGATGTACCCTGGTCCCTTTCGATTACTTCGGGAACTCCGTATCTGCAGATGATTTCGGTAAGTAGACGTTTTGCTGTGGTCTTTGCAGTGAGATTAGCGACCGGAAAAGCTTCTGGCCAACCTGAAAACATATCCACTATGACCAGTGTGTATTCATACCATCCACTCTTTGGCATTTGGATATGATCAATTTGGATCCTTTGGAAAGGGTACTGTGGTTTGGCCAAATGGTTTGGTGCAGCCTTGATTATTTTTCCTGGGTTACATTTGGCGCAGATGGTGCAGGACCTGCAGTAATTTCGTGTCAAGGTGGTGATTCAGGGTGCTTCAAAATATTTATCAATCAAGGAATTCATGAGGTGTGAGCTGGTCCATGGGCCCACTGAACAACAGCTGGATACATATTCTTGGGTAGGCAGAATTTAAGATTGGTTGTGTATATGTCATTCTGGAGGGTTGCTCGTTTGTCTTTCCAGCTTTGTTTTTCTTGTGGAGTGGCGGCTGCCTGTTGTTCTCTTAGGAGCTTGAGATCAGTGGGTAGGGTTTGCATAGTATAAATAGGAGTCTTCTCGACGGACACTCTTCTGTCCACTTCCCGACACTGGCGCGCTGCATCCTTAGCGGCCTGGTTGGCTAAATGGTTGCCATGTGCTTCTTCTGAATTTAGTCTTCCGTGGGCCTTCACCTTCAGTATGGCCACCTCTTCAGGAAGTAGTAAGGCATCCATCAATTCGTTGATAGCTGCACCATGTTTCACGGGAGTACCTGTTGCTGTAAGGAACCCCCTGGTTTTCCAGATTAAGCCAAAGTCATGTTCCATGCCCAGGGCATATCTTGAGTCTGTATAAATATTAACACGTTTCCCTTCAGACATCTTGCATGCCACCATGAGAGCTATTAGTTCGGCTTCTTGTGCTGACTTAGATGATGGAAGTGCAGATGCTTGGAGTATTTGGTCCTCTGTGGTGACTGCATATCTGGTATGGTATTGTCCCTGCGCATCTGCGAATCTAGAACCATCCACAAACAGAGTGTAGTCAGGGTCAGTTAGAGCAGCTTCGTGCACTGTTTGGAGATGGGTTGTTTCCATTTTCATCTGTTCAAAGCAATCATGAGGAGAGTCCGGGTCTTGTTCTGTGGGAGGAATATCTTCACATATCTCTGTGTGATATCGAGGGTAAACGACAGTTTTGCAATTTATGGTCTTTTTAGTGACCCCCGTCACTGTCAGTTGTTCCTGAGTTGCAGTACTCCATGTATTGGCCATTGGGCCGAGTTCTTTCCATGAGAGATCTTGAGACTTTGTGAAAGAGACATGAGGAACAGCCACCTCCCAATGGTGATACAAATGTGATACCTCAATAGGCAGGTAGACTAAGATAACAATGTTTCCTTTGGAGTCACAGAACAGGTCTGTTAGTGTGATTTGTATTCCACCAGGCTGAATAATTCTTCTTCATAGTATGGGTCAGGACCTGGGGTGTCCCGGAACCACAGGGTGCAATGTAATTGGGTCTCGGGCTGTTCATCATGTGGAACTGTGGTTGTTTCGACTTGAAGTTTCATGTGAACATTGGGATTTATGTCCAGGCTGTACCAGTATTGCGGCACTCCCCCCTTGGGAAGTGGCAGAAGAGTGGCCGGATTCAAGGAGTAACATCTTTGTAAAGAAACATTATCCGGCAAGAGGAGGCAGGTTTGAAGGCGGAGATGTCTTTGACATGAAAGATGCTTTAGTTGGACTTGATTCAGGATTGCAGCGATGTCATGGGGAGCAAGAACCGTCAGTTTAGGTCCGAGAACAAAGTTGTTCATTTTGTCCAGTAGGGCACTTGCAGCAAAGACAGCACACAAACAGGAAGGACGATCCCTGGCTACGGGGTCTAGCATGCATGAGAAGTACCCAATAGGGCGCTGACGGGAACAGTGGGATTGAGTAAGGACCCCGGAAGCATGGCCCATCTTCTCTGAGACGAAGAGTTTGAACGGTAATTGGTAGTTGGGTAGGCCCAAAGCAGGGGCGGAGGAGATTGCTCTTTGAAGAGCATGGTAACAGCTGTGGGTTGTAGAGGACAATGAGAAAGGTTCAGTATTTAAGGCATCATAGAGAGGTTGCATGAGTTGAGAAGCCTCAGGGATCCAAGATCTGCAGTATGTGATGAGGCCCAAGAAGGCATGAAGGGCCTGATGGTTAGATGGAAGGGAGAGATTTGTAATAGCAAGAACTCTGTTTCTCATTAGGTAACGGGTGACATGGGAAAGGCAATGTCCCAAGAAGACCACAGAGGGCCGGCACCACTGGAGTTTCGTCTTGGAGGCTTTACAACCTTCATCAGCGAGGAAACAAAGGAGATCCACAGAATTTTGTTCAGCAGTCGAAAGATCATCTGCACAGAGAAGTAAATCATCAACGTACTGGAGCAGGACCACGTCTGGGTGGGACTTCTGCCAGGGTTCAAGTACAGTTGACATAGCTTTGGCGAATTGGGTTGGGGGATTTTGTGCACCTTGAGGCATGACAGTCCATGTATATTGTTGCCGGTCGTATGTGAAAGCAAACAGATATTGGCAAGAGGGATCCAAGGGCACGCTGAAGAAGGCATTTGCAAGATCAACCACTGTGAAAAATTTAGCTGTTGGAGGAACCTGTGACAACAGTGTATGTGGATTAGGGACAACTGCAGTATCGCGGTTGGTGACCTCATTAACAGCACGGAGGTCCTGGACCATACGGTATTGGTCTGGTTGACCTTTTTCAGTTTTCTTCTTTACTGGAAAGAAGGGGTGTTACACTGAGAAACACATTTGACTAATGCACCTTTTGCCAACAGGCTATCAACTTGTTTGGAGATGGTGAGAGCTTGTGCAGGTTTCAATGGGTACTGTGGTCTTCGTGGTGGATTAGCTCCTTTGATTAGTGTAACCACCACAGGTGGGACTCGTAGGCGTCCAATATCATCTGGACCGGTAGACCAAAGCTTAGTTGGAACGTTATCCAGGGCACTGGGGGCGTCTGGAACCCTTGCTTCCTTGGTGGGGGATGTCATGTGTAAGAGTAGGGGCAAAGAGCAAAGGACGGAAGTATCTTTGCGGGAAAGTGGGGTAAGTAATTGAACCTGGCCATCAGCAGTAAAGGAGATAGAAGCTTGAAGACAAGACAGAACATCAGCTCCTAAGAGGTTAATGGGACAAGTGGATGAGACAACAAATCGAGAGAGAATGTCAGAACCAACCCACAAGAGCTTGGTTAATGGGTTGTTTCTGGGGGTACCATCAATGCCTACACAAGAAACATCGGTGTCAGATAGGTAAGAAGGATCAGGCAGGTCTTGTTCTCTGAGAACACTGCGGGCTGCACCTGTGTCAACTAAGAAGGTAGTAGGATGACCCTCAACTGGTAATACAACTGTAGCTAGGGGTCCACCCTTGTCCCCTGTAGACACTGCCATGACGGGGCGTCAGACACAGGTTTGCCGGTTACCTATTGTACAAGGTCTAGATAAGATTGATCAGGGCCAGTGTAATGACGTGCTGGTGTAGTTGAGTGGCTTGCCTAATGGTTTTGACATATAGGGCAATAATGACTCGGTGCTGGGTGATCATCTTATTAGAAATCATCTGTATCGTAACTATCAGGGGAAGGGTGAGCATAATTATGGGGTGGGTGAGTATTAAGTTGAGAGGGTTGATAGATGGCCTGGACGTAATCCTGAGGAGGGTAATATGGTGCATGTGTCTGAGGATATACCTGTGGAGGGTAACCTTGTTGGAGACCACCATACGCGGCCGCAGGGGCATTGGGGTACATAGGGGGTCTAGTGGTCGGCTGTCTAGGCACCCTTGGGTGTGGGCAATCTCTCCGGAAATGGCCTGGTTGGTTACAATTAAAGCATGCCTTGGTCTGAGGCTTAGGTGTCATGTGCTGCCCCTGTGCAGCTGGCAGGGTAGATAACGTGGGATAACTTTGGAGCACCTGGGCGGGTCTGGTAGCAGGGCTAGAAGAGGAAAACATGAGATGATTACTTTTCCTTTGGGGTGGCTGTAGAACAGATTCTAGGCCCTTTGCAACTAGCAAGAGAGTGTCCAAAGGAATAATTCTGTATTCGGGGCGAGAAAGCACTAAGCCTTTCCTGATGGGTTCCTTAAGGCCAGCCACAAAGGCAGCGGATAACATCTGGGTATGTGCTTTGTTATATACACTGAATCCGAGAGCGGAGAAAGTTTGAGTCAACCTTGAATGGTATTTTTCCTCAGATTTGAGTTTGTCTTGTATAATATCATTTATACAAGTGGCTTGGTCAGCTAGTTTATTCTGGGCCCAGGCCCGAAGTTGTTCACAGAATGTAATACCCGACTGGAAATCCATATCGGTAGTGAGGACAACATCATTAAAACTCCTTTCCATGATGGGCCAGTAGGCATCCCCAGCCTTGATCTCACACAGACTATACAGATCACGCCAGGCTGCTGAGTATGTCTTATGAATCTGGGCAATCCTCCGGAAGAAGGGCATGGGCTGTTTCTCAGGGTCGGGAAGAGAGGTTACTAGGGTTGCAGCTTGGGACGGGTTGAAAGTAACATACATCGGTGGAGCCCCTTCCACTGTTGATAGAGCAGGGATGTGGGTGGCTGGGATGGCCTGTCTCTGGGAAACCCTATTATTCGAAGGACGGAATGGGCTAAGCCCTTGCACATTGTCATCCTCGGGGAGAACTGGGAATGGGAGACCATGATAGCTGGCAACAACAGGTAAAATGGGGGCTTGGGCGGCTGGAGCATCGGAGCCGGGAGAACCGACAGCGATGGCCTGGGGAGTAACTAACTGAGAGGTAGTGGGATGGAAACCTGATACGACAGGAGAAGCGCCTACAGCATGAGGTTGTCCCGACACGGTAGATTCATTTGACCCAACGATCATGATTGGGTAACTGGGAGTTGCCATGGGAGAGGCGGGGACGGGAGCTGGACTGGGTGAGGATGCGGGCTGAGTAGGCTGAGGGAGATGAGTGGAGAGGGCGGAGATGAGTGTCGAAAGATCGAGGAAGGAAATAACAGGATTAGAGGTGGGAAGAGGAGAGGAATCCGGAACAGGGACAGAAGGGGTGGTGGGGAGAGAAGAGGTAGGAGCAGGAGTAGGGGAAACAGCAAGGGAAGCAGAGAGGGCGGAAATGAGTGACGGAAGGTCGAAGGAGGGAGGGGTAACAGGAGTTGAGGTGGGAAGAGGAGAGGAATCTGGAATGAGACCAGAAGGGCTGGAAGGGGGTGGAGAGGAAGGAGCAGGAGTAGGGGGAATGGCAAGAGAGGCAGAGAGGGCGGAAATTAGTGACGGAAGGTCGAAGGAAGGAGGGGTGACAGGATTAGAGGTGGGAAGAGGAGAGGAATCTGGAAGAGGGACAGAAGGGGTGGAAGGGAGAGGAGAGGTAGGAACAGGAGTAGAGGGAATGGCAAGAGAGGCAGAGAGGGTGGAAATGAGTGCCGGAAGGTCGAAGGAGGGAGGAGTGACAGGATTAGAGGTGGGAAGAGGAGAGGAATCTGGAACAGGGACAGAAGGGGTGGAGGGGAGAGGAGAGGTAGGAACAGGAGTAGAGGGAATGACGAGGGAAGAGGGGGATATGGATGCAACAGGGGGAACCACGGGGGAAGGCGAGAGAGGAACGGGAGCAGAAGGAACAACAGGGAGAGGGACTAGAGGGGTATCAGGGGAGACAGTACATAAAGGAGGAAGGGAAACAGGAATAGGAGGAATAGGAGGAATGGTAGAGGAAGATGTGAGAGGGACGGCGTCGGAAGAAGTGGTGGAGAGAGGTAGCAGAGGGACGGCATCAGTAGCGATATGAGAGAGTGGAAGAGGGGCGGTATCGGTGGGGAGTGGGAGGGGGACAGGGAGTGGGAGTGGGAGGGGGACAGGGATAATGGGAAGTGTGAAGGTAGACGGGAGAGGGATGGGGTAATAATAGGCTCTGTCCGCCCCGAGAACGGGGTACAGAGGGGTGGGAACAGGAGGGCCTTTGACAATTGGAGGTGGAGACTGGGCAGTGTCTGGGGAGGCGGGGCGAGGTTCATTCACGGCATTCTGGGCGCCATCATAGGGCAGTGGCCGGGGAACAACAAGAGATGAATCATCATTAGAAACATTTCTGTGATATACATAAATCGCTTGTCCTTCAAAATCAATTTCTTCCTCTGACCAACCCTCCCGCTTGAGTCCTCTCGCTACCCGATACCAAGCCTCTACGGCTTTTGTCAACCCATTATTCAATAGTAAGCCCTCTTTATCAATGAGCAATTTCCTCCAAAACTCTGGCTGCAATCTACCACTTGGTGACATTTGAAAACCACAAATCTTTGCTATCTTCTTTATTTTTAACATAGCCTCCTCTCCTGCTCTCTCCTTAACGATATCACAGGCTAAATAACCTTTTGAAGGTCTGGCATGTTCTTGTCCCATTTTTACCAAACAAGGTTTTCCCCGTAAGAGGGACAGAGATAGAGAGAGGAAAAAGAAGGAATTTCTACAGTGCTCGACTGCCACGAGGAATTGATCCCTGTGCATCTTCCCCAAACGTAGACGAGTCACAGGATCCGCCCACCCGAGATGGTGGCCACGGATCTGAGCGAGTGAGTGTGGGTGACTAACACAGCTCTGGGCAACAAGTACAGAAGAGGTAGAGGATGAGGGAAACGGTGAACGTGGAGAGATTAATCAGAAGACATTTACAGGAGTCACAGATGTAGAGATGTGCACATAATCCGGAATCGAGGACGAGCCACACAGCACACACACACACACACAACGAGGGTACCCACACTATGACTACAACTGAATAGAAATCATAATATAACAAAGAACAGTAAAACTACGAACATAGTAGTAACTAAACAATAAATGAACCCTGTTCTACTCTGAACAGTACAGCAAAATTCCCAGCCTTTCTCTAAGCGGATGCATTCCATGCCCGCTAGGCAGTCAAGTCACAATATATCCCCAGCCTTTCTCTAGGCAGTTCCCAGCCCTTTACCGGGCGGACAATACTCCCAGCCTTTTACTAGGCGGCTCCCAGCCCTTTACCGGGCGGACAATACTCCCAGCCTTTCTCTAGGCGGCTCCCAGCCCTTTCCCGGGCGGATGCGTTCCCTGCCCACTAGGCAGTCAAGCTATGATAATAATAAATCACAAACCACACACCAGCTGTCTCACACACACAAACATTCAGGAGGCAGATAGACAATCGACAGGTTCGTTTTAAAAGGCACCGGATAAGAGATTACCTGTCTTGTAGCCTTCTGGAAGCCGGAAGTGGACACGGAGACAGACCGACACAAAACAGGAGAATACAGGCAAACCGCCTGTATTTAGGTCTGCTCCGGTCCCGTTTTCCGTCCGTCCGAACCGGCGAGATCTGGTGCCCCACGTTGGGCGCCAAATGATGTGGAAATCAATCAATAAATTTATTATCTTGCGTATCTGCCCCCGGCCAAATTAAAGAAATAATGTGTGCACGCTCCTAAAGTAATTCACACCAGACACAAGTTTCAGGTTAATGAAAAACTTGAGGAATGTTTATTCTGGGGGGACGACATGTCCCTTATAAAGCAAAATTACATCATAAGCATTGTCAGAGATAACATGGAATAATACATGAATAATTGGTTAGGTGTTAAGTGGTTCATTTAGTGCTCTTCCTACCGGGTGTGATGTCACTGGTATCTTGGAGGTCTCCCCCAGATTCCAGCGCCATCTTGTTAACGAGGGTGTTAGTCGATGTTAAAGGGGAAACTCCCTAGCGGCCATTTTAGGTAAATCACATAGAAAGTTGAATAATGCTGATTATAGTTATGTTGAGTAAATAGGCATTTTACTAACATGGTTTGGGTTAATATTTTTGTCCACAACAGTTATCTTCTTTTAAATTGCAGATAGAAGATCCAAGTGATTGAGCAACAGAAAACGTTAAAATATTTGGGTTACTTATTCAGTCCAATGCCTATATCTTAGATAATTAATTGCCTATCAGAAATAAATCAGTTAACCTGTGCTTCTTTACTTCTGGTGATAATTTAGAATTTTCAAAATTGACTTTACTGGTCATTTGGTGCATTTTGTTAATGTTTACATAAAGTTATATGAATATTAGTTATGTAATATGTACCCTGTAATAAAATTAAATTGTTTCACGATTATCTGTTCAAATGCTTAAAAGAACACTCCAAGCCAGGGACGTTTTAGCAGCGAGGCAAACAAGGCATTTGCCTAGGACAGCACAAAACCAGGATACACCACTGCTCCAAGCACCATATCTACTACCAGGGCCGTCTTTAATAACGAATGGACCCTGGGCAAGTGTTTGCTTGGGCCCCCTGTGCCCTGCCGCTCTCGCCCCTCACTCCCTGGTATGCAATCACGGCATCCATCCCAACGCAGTGGCGGTACTAAAGTAGAATGAATTTTATTGGGACCCCCAATTGCAAGGTTGGACTAAAGGTAGAACCCCATCTGTCGTGCAACTCCAACAATGCTTTGACAGCTGGGACTCTACCAATTTCCCATGCTTGCAGGGTTGTATTTAGCACTGAGCCATGTTAGTATGTTTGAATGTAAGCATGTGTTTGTATGGAGTATGTTTGTGTGAATGTGTTTGTATGTGGTACTGGAGTTTGAATGCAAGTGTGCATTTATGTGTAGTGTTTGTTTTTGAATGTAGGAGTGTGCTTGTATGTAGTGTTGACGTTTCAATGCAGGAGTGTGTTTTATATGTAGTGTTGAAGTTTGAATGGAGGGGTGTATTTGTATTTAAAGTTGCGGCTCAGATGCACAGGTACACACTCTGACGCACAAGCAGATACACAGATACATACACTGACTACATACAGATAAACAGGCACATACACTGACAGACACACTGACACAGGTACATATATTGACACACACACAGACACATACACTGGTAGACGTACTGACAGACATACTGACACAGGAACATATACAGACATACTGACACACACACACAGACACATACACTGATCAACATACTGACACACATACACTGACAGAAATACTGACACCCACACACTGACAGATATACTGACACCCACATACACTGAGAAATACTGACACACACACACAGGCACATACACTGACACACACAGACTGATATACTGACACACACACACAGACATACTGGCACACAGACAGATATACTGACACATGCATACACATGCACTAACAGACATACTGACGCACTGACAGACATACTGACACATACACATACTGACACACACAGATATACACACACATATATACTGACACACAGACAGACAGACATACTGACACACACACAGACATGCTGACACACACACACATACACTAACACACAGATACACTAACACACACATACACTAACACACAAACACACACATACACTAACACACATACACACTAACACACATACACAAAAACACACACACACACACACACACACAAACACACACATACACACACATAACACACACATACACTAACACACAAACACATACACTAACACACAGACTAACACACATACACTAACACACACAAACACACACATACATACACTAACACACACATACACTAACACACAAACACTAACACACACATACACTAACACACAAACACTAACACACACATACACACACACAAACAAACACACACAAACACATACACTAACACACAAACACATACACTAACACACACATACACACATTTTTTTTTTTATGTAATCCCCCCAGCCTCCTTACCTATTGGAGTGCTGGGGGGATTCCCTGGTGTCCAGTGGTGCTGCTGGGCTCCTGGGCGGCAGTTCACTGGGTGGGCGGGCTGTCTGTCTGTCTGGGCAGGCGGGCGCGCGAGGGAGCACTCAGTGCTTCCTCTTCAGCTCCCTCGCGCGTCATCTTCCGGCTCCGGCATCAGTGCGGTGCGCGAGGGAGCTGAAGAGGAAGCACTGAGTGCTCCCTCGCGCGCCCGCCTTCCTGCCCGACCGGCCACCCGCCAGCTGGGGTCAGCGGGGCCCACGGGGCAGGTGCCTCGGGCCCCCCAAGAGAAACTGGGCCCGGGGCAGCTGCCCCGTTTGCCCCGCGTTAAAGACGGCCCTGTCTACTACAGCCCACTGTAGTGGTTATTGTTCTATGTGTGCCTGGTGCTCTCCCAGAATAAGTAGTTAAAGAGTTTGTGAACAGTTTGCTAACATATCCAGGATGTGGCAAGAGTCTCCTACTTCGCCGCAGAAGCTGCAGTCAGTGGAGGCTCATACCCAAAGTTTTTAATTTTTTTATATGGGTAAAAAATGCATTTGTAATATAGGCAGTCTTCACTTACCAACCTGGTTCTGTTCTTACGACTCGGTCGTAAAACGAATTGGTTGGAAAGTGAGCATGCGCTAGCTAGCATGCGCTAGAATGCAAGTCTAAGTTCGGGGAATTCCCCCGAACATAGACCAGTTCACTAGTGCAAGGGATCCCGCAAATCTATTTACGGGGAAAAGTAGCAGAATATAGATTAGCTTATTAGCGCAGGGAATATCTGAAATCTGTGTTCAGGGAAAGTTCTCCGAACATAGACCAGCTCTCTAACATAGGGAATTCCTCAAATCCCCACGCTAGAGAGCTGGTCGTAAGTCCGAGGAGTTGTAAACAGGTAGGTTGTAAAGTGAGGACCACCTCTAGTTTAGAAACATTAAGAATCTCTTTCAGGAGGGGAGGGTGGTAAGCCACAAAATATGGGAAAAAATAGTGTCTAACTCTATAAAAGGTTTCAGTTCTGTAGGACTCTTCCCCCCTAATTGTTAGCTGTTTGGAGCTGTCACAGGAGTCGTAATCCAACACGCAGGAAAGAGAAAACCACAAAAGGTGGATCCGAAAGACGTATTACCGAGATTTAGAGTCGCCGGAATTAACGTAACTATAAAACAAGAAAGGGTCAAGAATAAATTAAGGTCAGAAATAACAGGAATACTCATAGTCGATACAAAGCCGGGTCAGGATACCAGAAATCATGAGTCAAATACAAAGTCGAGGTCAGGATACCAGAAATTACAAGTCAAATATGAAGCAGGGGTCAAATACAGTGTGACGGAGCACCCTGTACTACTGCTGGGTACCTCCTCCAAGGACCGCTTCCTAGCTGGAACAGGGGAAAACCTCAGTGCTTCTGCCCCAGTTGCTGTGCCTTGACTGGGGTCCTTCTGGAGCATCTCCGTCCTGGAACAGGATAGGGGACTAGCTCTATTCCCTCCCAGGGACTGGACCACACACAGTCCTGGAAGCTCTAGTCCTTACAAGGACTTTCCCCACTGAATCCTTCATGAGCTGGAACAAGGTGCTGAGTATTGATTAGCCCTTTCCACTCCCAGTAACTAGACGACACATCATTTTGGGAGTACAACTGGTTTAATGCATCCAAACACAGCCTTTTTATACAATCTCCATTGTTCTTACCAGAGGCCCCTCCCAGGAATGGCAGGGCCTGGGAGACCGGTAAGCTAATTATCTCCCAGGAACAGAGAGGCAACAAAAAAATAAAAAACATAAAAACACCCCAAAATATAATAAAAACATAAAATAACCCCACAAATACATTGTTAAATAGCTCTGATCTGAGCACCCAAGTTCTCCAAATAGCGCTCAGATCCATGCAGTTTAGGAGAAACGCAATTCGCGTTAAAGTTCTGACTGGTCACACACGTAGTCCTATGCCCAAAATAGTTCCAGGGTGTTTGGTGCTTTTGCCAGTCAACTTTGGGGAGATTCTGTGGCAGCAATACAGGGTGCTCTGTCTGGCTCTTAGGTAGCGTTTGTTCCCCTTAGTGTCAGGCACCTTCCCTCCAAAAAGTGCCCTCCTGGCTGATTTTAAAGTGGTTCAAAACCGTGAACCAAGTTGTCCCGGAACCGCACGGTCACCTCATGCCGAAAACAGTTCCACAACATTTGCGGTTAAGTCCCGCTGAGGTGACCAGGAACCCACAAAGTCCTCATGCTGAATTTAGTTACATAGCAGTTGCAGCTAAGTACTGCTGGGACTATTCGTGGATGTGGCTCATGCGAAAGGCCGCCGGAGAGCCAGCGTTCGATTCTATTCGCATAAAGGGAACGTGCCGAACCAGGGGTACCCAGGGAAAGCTACTAATGGCGGCTGGGCCGGGTAACTCCCAAACGGTGTCCCAGATCTGAACCCTAGTTGGTGGGCAGGAGGCTGGCTTCTACACTCCTCCAGGAGTCTGTGGCAAACGTACGTGGGAAGGAGCGTTTGTCACACACAGGAAATCACAAGGGAATCACTAGGAGCACTAGAAAAGGTTCTAACAGAAACCACAATAGGGCAATGAATGGGGGCCAAAACAAGCCTTAAATAGGCTTACCTATGTTCTGATTGGTCCAAAACAGATTAGGATCACAATAATTCAATAGAAAGTTATCATAGCAGGAGCACTACTGAAGATGAGATCATGTCAGTAGAAGGGCTAGGAAGATAGACACAGAGAGGGTTAAAGCATTTTACAGAGTCATGTAATGTGTTGATCTCTGTATTGCAGCTGTGTGTAATCCATCACTTTGATCCTGGCTGTGTGGGATAGTTATGACTATCTCCTTACTGTTTACTCTTTGTATTTTACTCAGCTCTACCTGTTGTATGTGTATCTCTGTAGTACCCAGCTTATAGGTATAGGTATCTTTGTGTTGTGCCCATCTGTTTATTATATCTCTATGTTTTCCCAGCTCTGTTTGTGGTATGGTTATCACTACACTTTGTAAGCAGCTCTCTGTTTTTATAGATATCTTTATGTTGTGTCCAGCTTGTTTTGTTGTATGAAAATCTAAGTATTATGCTCAGCTCTTTGTATCGTATAAGAATGTCTGTACTGCGTAGGAAAGTAAAATTCTAGGTGATTAGTCTGGTGCCCCACCATCTTAAAACTTTACCAGTCTCCACTGGTGGAAGTACTGATCAAAGACTGGTGGGCACTCACCTGATGCTCTTAGCCAATGAGCCAACCCTGTACTATAGCACTTAGCTCAGTGGAGCTAGCAAAAGCTCCTTTCAGGAACTTTTGGCTCCGTGGAGGGAGGGAGGCAGCCAGCATCAAGTGGCCCCCAGGAATGTTGTCAAACCACTTGCAAAAGATTTGACTACTTATCCTGGGAGGGTGCCGGATAGTTCTTGGACCATATCCTCCACAGTAAACTGTATGTTATGGTGCTTGGAGTGTTCATTTAAATTGAAGAACCTGGGAAAAATCTGTAACTTTATTTTTCCTTCGATCAGGGGTAAGCAAACTTTGGCACTCCACAGGCTGCAGAGAAAAACAATAAACAGATTAAAAATAAATAAAACACACACACTTGCCTTACCCTCTCATACATCTTTTACATCTGTTTCTGCTGTTGATCTAAAAGATGTGAAAAACTCGCTTTTAAATGTTTTCCAATTTTGCAAGGAAATAAAATCCTTCTCAATCCCAGAATGGCAATTAAATGTCTCTTTGGATCAAGAAGCTGTTACCCCACATATTAAATAATATATCACATATTGGAGATGTAGTCCACTTATTACATTGTGGACTACATATCCAGTAAAGCGCTTACAGCCTGGGTCTGCGGTTGTGAGGCCAGTTGGATGTACTGACAAATTCTCTTAAACACCTTTGGAGACGGCTTATGCTAGAGAAATGAACATTCAATTCACAGGCAACAGCTCTGGTGGACATTCCACACTCTCTCAAAACTTGTGACATCTGTGGCATGGTGCACATTTTAGAGTGGCTTTTTATTGTGGCCAGCCTAAGGCACACCTATGCAATAATCATGTGGTCTAATCAGCATCTTGATATGCCACACCTGTGAGGTGGATGGATTATCTCAGCAAAGGTGAAGTGCTCACTAACACAGATTTGTGAACAATATTTGAGAGAAATAGGGCTTTTGTGTACATTGAAAAAGTCTTAGATCTTTGTATTCAGCTCATGAAAAATGGGGGCAAAAACAAAAGTGTTGCATTTAGAATTTAGTTCAGTGTACTATATATATATATATATATATATATATATATATATTATATATATACACACACACACACACATTGCTCCCTTATAATACCCCCACCACACACACACACACACACTATAGACCCTGTGCAAACACAATGCACCCCTCACTGCAATCTGTGTATGTATTCAGCAGTCTGTCTCTATGTGTATGTATTGCATTGGTTAACGGTACCAAAAAATACAAGCTTAACTTTATAAATAATTGACTTTTTTTTTTTTATTCCCGCAAGTCGATGTGTGGGCAGTACCCCGGTGCACTGCTTTGCCCAGGGGCCTATAATACAGTTAAGATGGCCCTGCACAAGACTGTGCCATTCAAGATGGTCAACACGATACACAGAACCATGTACCATGAGGCTTCCACCCTTGGAAAGCGTACTCACAAAACTAGCTCAGTTTGACACCATATGCAAGAAATTCTGGGTAAAGGTGGAGGAGCACTTCGGCACAATCAGTTCCTATACCCAAGCGGCATGTTGGAGAGAGGTCTGGATGGCCTGAGCTGGGCATATCTGTGACTAAGAACCCTCTCTCCACCCTATTGTACGCACTCAGACGGAGAGTCCTTCAGGATTTGCTCCCAACACTTTCGCAGGTGGAGGGCTGCAGGGCACAAAAGAATATATCCCACTAAACAAACCTCTAGATCCAAGCACAATTGTACCAATGGGAATGTCGCTGGTACTGAAGGCCCTCAGGCCCAAGAAATAAAGATAACAACCCTTGAACAAGCCTGGAGCGAGAGTAGAGTCCTGCATTAGCTCTACCATGGATGATATTTTAAAATGGATACATCAACTACACACATACATTGCCCAACTTAGGAATCTGATGACAGTCCCTCCATTATATTATTTATCAGTTTAATTCCTTACTTAGCCATAGCAACTTTATACAAACAGCACTACTACTTCAGATGAAGTGAGCACTTGTGGTTTAAGATATTGTATTTTGCATGTTCTTTTTATTATTTTTTTCTTCTTCTCAATTATACACAATTGTCTTCGTTACCACCAAGAGTAAGACCTGATTATTATAACCTGATAAATAACAAATATAAATGACCAATTGTACAAATATATGCATCTCATGTGTTGCTTGTGATATACCCTTTAAAATGTGCAGCATTTGACATGTCGTCATGTATATTTATATTCTCTCTTAGGTATTGACGATGTGTCAACGTCATCTATGCACTGCAAAAATATAGAAAGCCCTATTTCTCCTGAACAGTGTGGGTGCACTTAACATGAAAGGGGTAACTGATGGATGGACATATAGCTAAAATTATAGGTTATGTTTTAGTTCAGAACAATTTCCTTGGTCCTAATTTAAAGGGATTAGCGAATTGATGATGCTTAGCTATAAACTAAACCTCTGTTTTCGACCCTCTTAGTCTGGCCTAAAAGCGTGTGCGCACACACACACACAAAAAAAAAAAAATACATTAATATATATATATATAAAAATGAACAAACAAAAATAGATTTCAGTAACAACTACAACATGCACTTACCATCAGGTTCAAAGTTAGGCTTTGAGGGCAAACGTTTTAAAAGACATTTTATTAAAGATTGACAGAGCACTAAAAGTTCATGGAGAATGACAACAGCAAACATGAAATGTCTGACATTAAAACATTTGCATTCCAACATAGAAAGCTAAGAAAACTGACAATATCCAGATTATTTTACCATTTTAACAGTCTCCATGGCTGGGGTTTGTGCTTGTTTAACAATTACTAATCAAACCATTCCAAAACCTAGCTTGCTTTATTGACAGTTACAAGAATGCACAAGTCATATTTACAACCCAAAAGTTGATAAATACATCAGACATAATACAATAAACAATATTTCCACTAACTTACTCATAAAGAGATGCATTTTTAACGTCTATCAATGTATGGCAAGCAGTAGCCTGCTAAGCTTTTATTTTTTAAATACAATGTTTATTTAAATGCAGTAACATGGGTGAAAAATAATCTAAGAAATACAGTCATTTAAACAATGACAAATATTCTTTTAGATTGTAACATTTTATTTACCACTCTCAATTAGATATTTGGCATTTAATAAATAGAATATATTATAAACAAGTGTGAGAATATAAATTGACACTCAATGCCCATTTCTTAGTGAGGTAGGAACCTTATAAAATGTATATTTAAGTAGTCAAAATAAAAAGCAAACCATTCTTAAATATCAACATTGTGACTTTAATCTTATTGTGAAAATAAAACACCACCATGCCAACACTGTGATTTATTGCATGGCACATTAGAACATGGAGTCCCAGGGTACCAGTGTAGATTACAATAGCAAACATTAAAGCATCATTGCTGGGCAAAGAAATAATTGCAAGTGCCAATGCGTTCCAGACGCCAGGTTTACAAATGCAGAATGAAATGTGCTTAAGCAATTAAAAATAAATGATTCAATGAGGACATTTTACAGTTTTCAGAAGTCATTTGCTTTTTTTCTAACTGGGAGGCCATTTTGTTTTCCTCAGAGCGGCTTCTGCCTTTTTCACATAGGGGAGCGAATCGTAGACTTTCGGTTTATTGCCAGGGGTTTCTTTTTTTCCCAGTAAGAAACAAAATGTCCATTTGTGGAAAAGCCATTTTCCCCTTCCAAGTCAGCTAAAAAAAATAAATAAAATTAAAGATCTATGACGACATTTCATGATGTACAGATACGAAGTTTAAGCATGTCCACCTATAGCCTCCTGAGTAACCGTAACAAATCTGCAGTGGCAAGCTATGGAATGGACTTCTGACATCTGTCAGAAAATTTCAGGGGGCTCCCCTTCAAACCACTACTGATAAAATCCAGAAACTTCCACCCCCTACAGTGGGTCAACTTTTTTTCCTTATCTTCACACGTGTAATCCAACCTGTGGTGTTTGAGTAAGGGACACAGTGAAGAGGAGGATGCACAGTGCTGTGCAATACAGAGCTCTGTACTGCTCCCCATCTTTCAAGCTCTGTATTACAGAAAGTAGTAACATGACAAGCAATGGAGAGTGGTATTCACAAATACAATATATTTCTCAAATTCATTTCACCAGAGAGTGGGAGGCAATAGAACATACCTGAAAGCTTGCCATTCCAAAATTCTGTTAGTCCAATATAAAAAGGTATTACAATGCAAATATCTTATTTTAGATTGGGATCATTGTACTAATAATACACACACACACACAGGGAAATATGGGATGCACTCACAGATTTATCACACAATGTTCTTTTCGGTTATAAAAGTCTTAGGAAAATGAGGACCCCACCAGGATCCCTCATTTCATTTTTTTTTACATAATGGATTGGAAAACACCCAGGCAGTTAACCTTAAAAAATAAAAAAAAAGGATCGAGTGCCAGGCTCATTTTGATTTTTCACTTTATTTTCAAAAAATAAAAATAAATCTCCAACAAATACACCCCTAGTAAAAAGTACCTACTTACAGCGCCACTTCAGAAATACCAGGTGAGTAACCGCCTTTTGATTTCATCTGGTCCTGAAAAGATCCTCCCTTGAAGAGTTAAAATAAAAAATTTAAGGCATGTATAATTATGCATTAAAACAGACTCTGAGAATCAAAACCACTACATCTGCAGCCTCTGAGAAACAGTTTACATTTGTCAGACTGTGTGGTCTATGGGCTCTCAAATAACCATTTCATGAAGAAATAACTGAAAGTCTTTATGTTTGGAGTCATCATGCCAAGCATGACGCCACCGAATGCTGTGAATTCTTCTTCTTTATAAAGAGCAATTGACTGGCAATTGATGCGCAGTAGGGTCACAATACATCTCAGACTAGCCCAAGATCATAATCAATGAAGAGGAGTGGTTTTCGCAGTAAAACTGGGAATGTGCTGGATTAAAAATTAGTTTACTTTTTAGGCCCCCCAAAAGAGGTGGGAAGGGGGCAACAATCTAATCTTTAACTGAAACACTGTTATGAAGAGATATTCATAACTTGAGTGTTTGATGTAGGTCATCCTAGCAAAAACTGAAGAAAAAAGTTAGTTTAGGGTTTATTAGCGTTTGTCATTTGATGAATTTAAAATTTTTGCCCATTGTGGCATGGGATTGATGGCAAGATCTGGTGTAAGAGTCTAACGCAAATAGACAATTTCTTATCACCAGGAGCTCAAACAGGAGATTAATCAACATGCTATATGGACATTGCCATAGTGAGAAAGCCGATACAAATCCTTCTGATATAATTCTCCCGGCAGATGAACCAGATACTAACCCAGCATTACATGAACCGTCAAACATCAAAATAAACGAGATCTTAAAAAAAAAAAAAAAAAAAAACCCACACTTAACTATTCTTGGTAGAAAGGCTTCAGCATTAGCGACATGTCAACGGCTTACCAAAATATGGACCAGCCTGACTATTCATGAAAATCACGGCATCCTCAATGGTCATTGTGTGTTCGTTCAAAACATCAATACATATAGGTCAGAGAGGTGTCATATCATATGGTCGATGTGTCAGTGTAGTCATGCAAAATCTAGCAGCAAAGGGGCGATCACTTTGTAACAAACAGCTCATTGCAAAAATCATAGGGAAGTGACGGTCACATAGTGGAGATATAGAGAATATATATATAAATGTACAAAAATGTTTGTCTGGACTAGTAACACTACTAAAAAAGTCAACAGGTGGAAAACTGAGGAGAATATGGTTTTTGGGGACATTAGAGAAAGCACAACCACTTAGTCCTGGCAATGTAGCACATCATTTTAACCTCACCATATTGTTTTGGCCAAGTTATGGGGGGGGAATTGTTTTTTTTTTTTGCAGGAAGACATTCTGCAACTTACCAGAGCAAAGCCAGTACTTGAGTCTCCTGAGCCTACATGAGCGGTGTGTACAAAGTTCATAGGTTCCCCAATCATACTTCGATCAATCCGCCTTCGCCTCTGTTGAATAAGGAAAAAAACAAAACAAAAATTTACACACACACATACACATTTTCAAGGTTTATGCCACATAAAAACAATGCACCAAAGAACTACAGAGGTTTTCTGCATTTTATTTCTGTGCCATCTGCCACACATATCCCTACTATTTACATTATTTATAAATCTGCCCAACGTGTGCAAAGCCTCAACTGTACACATGTATGCAGACCACATTAATTTCCCCCAGTAAACCCAATCTACCGCAGCTTGAGGCCTGTGCTCCAAAACCAATTCACAGAGGTAGAAAAGTGGATAGCGGATACTTTCTTCATAAACACTAACAAAACGGTCACAATGATCTTTCAAATATCTAGGTATGTTGCTAGACTTCAATCTATCCTTTGGCCTTGAGAAACTCTTTACAATGTTATCTAAAACTAGGTGCCCTGTACAGAAACATTCCTGCCTATTCCCTACAGTAAGGAAACAGTGCAGCTAATGCCAGTCATTGATTATGGGGACATAGTATATGCACCCGCACCGCAAACCCACCTTAAACTTAATTATATAATTCATTCTGCCGCTTTGTACTAGAATGTAATTACTTTACCCACCATTGTGACATATTAAGAGAGCCAAACTGGTCATTGCTGGAATCCTGACGCACTTCATCTTTCCAGCCTTGTGCATAAGGGCTTTTCTGGGAAGCTCCCACCTTACGTGAGTAGAATGCTCTCCCCAGCTGTTCCCACCTCCTATAACCTCCGATCCAGTACTAGCACGATATTACCGCAACACAAAAATAAAATGGCTTGATTCTCATTTTCCTACAGAGCACCGCAATTATAGAATAATCTCATGGACACAGACAAGCTTTCATTCAATCTTAAATCCTTTAAGAGATCTATGGCAACATACCTCAATACAGAATATACCCATCATTGTTGACTATATTTATTACAGTGTGTAGTTCTATGTGTCCAAAGCATGTCCCTGCAGGCTTTGTGATATAAACACAGAGAAAAGGCAGTGTTTACATTAGTGTCTACATTGCAGTTTCAGAGGCACTTCTTGAGTTTCACAGAGTTTAATGACGTGAAATGACATGCTCATGTTTTGCAGGAGGACATCCAGCCTCAAGAAAACCCCATAGGAATGCACTGAGGCAATGCTTTCTGTGACAGACCACCTGGTCACCCAGGATTGGTACAAGTCTCCCAACCACCACCTCCTTCTCAAAAGGATTATAGTCACATTTACTTCTCCAGCCCGTGTCTCCCAGCCCAGCTCCACTTCTGGCCGCCTAACAGTCTTCATAGGCTGGCAGGAATGCCAGAGAGGCACAGTGTGTTTGCCCAGGAGCGACCCACAAACCTCTGGAACTCCTGATCTGATCATGGAGTTGTTGCGGTCCAGTAAAGCTTTGTCAAGGGCACACTTGGTCCCTAAATCACCTATCGTATTGCTATTTAGAGAGGGTGACAGAAGGTGGTGAGGCATTGAACGATACCAAGGACTTCAGGGAGCTCCATGTACCAGCAGAAAGTGCCATCATTGTAGAGGACCCGGACTTCCTACCCAGCGCTGTGGAACTACGATGGATTGGAAAATTGTCACGGCCCGGTCATGGGATAGACCCCTCCGATCAGAGTGCTTTTTGGACAGAGTGGGCACACAGAGCTTATCGGCCACTTTTTTTGGATGTAGGCACGGGAACCCTGTTTTTATTATGAAAATGTTTATGGACGCCAAGATGTCTGGCCAATTATAAAATTACCTGGTCAGGCACAGACACCAATGTGCCAGAGGTTGTGCAACACCTATTGGTTTCCTTGTGACCCTCTGTTGGGATCACATATATAAAAAAAGTGTGGCATTTGTCCCCAATAATACAGTACTTCTTCACCCATCACCAAGTCTTCGCTAGTGTTTGGGTGGAAAAGCAATATCTGCTATAAACAATGGGCTATACCTTGGTGGCGAAATCCCAGCTACTAGTGGACAGGCTGCCACACTTTCCTATGGGGAAGGCCTAAAGCACACATCTTTGTACTCCACACACTAAATTGTTCCTTTAAAAGGGAATGGCTACAGCAGCGTTACTCCTGTCCACTAATAACAGGGAACTTAAGTTTCAATGCGCATAGGCAGTTGACCACCCTCAGCTAATGACTGACATTCTATACAATGAAATTTGCATAGAATTGACATTAGTCACTCTGGAACGGTTCCAGTGCTGAGTGAATGAGTCAGAGCACTGCCACTGGGTTATTCCAGCATTGATCTGACGCACTGAGTGAGCGTCAGGCTGGAAGAGCACCAGCACCACAGGGCCCAGCAGGGTCCCATAGGGTGTTTTTGTTTATACAAGGGTTTTTAATATGTCCTTTAAGTTTCACTTTGCCGGGTTCAGTTAAGACTATTGCTGCCATGGACCATGGAAACCAGCAGGGAAGAGGGCTAGCATGCTGTGTCCCTGAGCAATGGATTGGCTGAGATAAAGGAGGCGGGGCCAAGCTCCGTCCTGTTCAATCAGCATTTCCACGAGGAAAGTTTAGTGTTTCGACGCAGAGGGTAGAGACACTGAATGTCAGTGACTGACCCAGCAAACACCTCTAGTAGCCATCTCAAGTGTGGGCACTGGAGGTGTCCCTAGGCTTTAATGTAAACACTGTAGTGTAGTTCTTGTAACTGTAGTGTCCCTTTACTTTAAAAGTTTTTATCTCCTGCTTTGTAAATTGAACTTTAATTACATACAAGAAGCTCTTGTAGGGTCTAGCAAGCTATTAACAGAGCAGTAGATAAATCCTAAATGAAACAAAATTTGCAATAAAGGAAGCGTAAACATTACCTGCTGTGTAAGTCACATGCAGGTAGGCGTGACTGCGTAAACAGTCCCCCCCTCCCCCCAGACACTGAGCTCTACCTTTTGCTCAAATATTTTATTGGACCTACATTAGTTACACCACAGAGTTTACCCATTTTCTAATGGCTACTTCCAACAAGACAATGTGCTGTGTAGGTTGCTCAAAAAAGTTCATCAGTTTGGTTCATCAGTTCAATTCAATGGAGTAGCTTTGGGATATAGTGGCATGGGAGATTTGGAAGCAGCAGTTTGAGGTGGTTTATATTTAATCCCATGCTCCAGGAGCCAGTGTGTTTAAAGGGTGCAGTGCCTGATGCGCACCTGTTAGTGATACCCACTGGGTGGCCGCAAGGGCTTGGGTTATCCGATGGGCAAATCCGGGCGGAACCTCAAATTTTGTCATAGGGTTCTGCACGAATAATTTTTTTAAATTTTTTTAAATTTTTTTTTTTTTTTATTTATTTTTTTTATTACCAACCCATTTCATCTGTAGTTCGGTATCAATAGGATTGTGGTGAGACCAAACACGATAAAAAGAAATTAAAAAAAACTCTACAGTGTAAATACAAAAATTACCGTTATTCATATTTAAAGTTGGACTTCGAGAAGTCCTTTTTGTGCATAGAAATTTGAGAAAGTGTTCCCAGCTTGACATGCAAATAAGCACAAAGCAGGAGGGAAAAAAAATGTAAATTATAAATAAAAATAAATTTAAAAAAAAAAAGGCAAGGTAAGTTCAAGACCTACTATATTTAAAATACAGGGGGGCTTTGTGTGTAAACAAGGGGGTGTATGGATCCCAGACTAGAACACTATTAAAAAGGGAATCTTTCTTAAATATACGTGTTGGTGAACGTGTACATTTTAAGTGACTATGCATTATACAGCATTTAGAACATCACACACCCTAAGCATGGTCTGAAAAGGTTATGAGAATTGTAAAACAAACTCACATACTGAATATGCAGTAAACTAACAATCCTATATAACCACACTTTATAAAGTTAGAGAGAAGCTGAAAGAAAATAAACTACTCACTGGTTGTGGCTGGGCACCAATGCAACAGCTAAAGCAGAAGAGAAATTCAGTCATTGCTTTATCTCAAGTGTTAATGGCAGACACTTCCTCTAAGTGTTGTTCTTCCTGCTATATTCTATTGATGCAGCCACCACACAGGAAGAAACACGCCAGAGTCAATGAAGAGGCTGGTAACGTCTTTAGAATTCACAGTAGGCAGTGTTTAAAAAGAAAGAACCTAAAAAGCGATGCAAATAAAAATACATATGAAAAATAAAAAAAGTTTAAAAAAAATTAAAAAAATAAAAAATCATCACTTACTGTAGTAAAACAAAAGGAAATTAAGTTTCCCCACCCTAATTCTGTATTTAAGTGTGGGAGAAAATAAGCATATAAAAAAAAAAAAAAAAAGTTAAAAAAAAAAATTCATATATAATACAAATACAAGTTTTGACACAAACTGAAAAGGATGGTGTAAGTGTGACAAGCTCAAGTGCCACAGACTTCTGGTAGAGGCAAAAAAGGCCAGCCTCCTGCCCAGACTATGTTCCTGGTCCCAATAGCCCCTAAAAGAGGCTATTGTCACTAGGAGAGGGGGGATGGGAGCCTCAGAGTGCTGTAAGCTGTAATCACTAGAGGAGAGAGGGTTTCCAAAGCTATACTCATGGCAGCCCGGTCTGGTATAGGACCCTCCCCCCTCATGGAGTTCAGGGGTGTCTGTATGGCATGTTTGTGTTTGCAGGTGTGTGTTTGACTGTTATGTTGGAGTTTGATTGCTGGCATACCTGCACATGCACTGCCACATACATATTAACAGAAACACACACACACACACACACACACACCGGTAATAAAGTTTATATTTGCAGCCACCCTCCTGTTAGTTTACCTTTTTTCTGCAGGAGGGTGGCTTGCTTGGAGTGCTGCTGGCAGAGGCTGGTATGAGAGGTCGGCAGCAGCTCTCTGCCCTCCTGCCTTCTCTCTGCCCTGTTCGGGGTGCTCTATGTCTGGGAGGAGGTGACAGGCTGTCACTTCCTCCCAGCATCCCATGCTCCAGGAGCCAGTGTGTTTAAAGGGTGGTAGTGCCTGATGCGCACCTGTTTAGTGATACCCACTGGTGGCCCTAAGGGCTTGGGTCACCCGATGAGCAAATCAGGGCGGAACCTCAATTTTGTCCTAGGGTTCTGCGGAATAACAATAAGTAAACGCTGCCTTAAACGATTGCTGGATTTCCATCATCATGAAATCTGGCAGCAGTATTTTAATTTTCAGATACATGTGTTGGTTTGTGCATCTTTTCTCCTCCAAAGTGCTGATATTAGAAAGATATGGGCAATTTTATACATCTGCGTAGAGCGGAAATGCCAGGCACACACCATTTTTCAATGAGCTGTACCACAACTCAGAGAAGTCTAAGGGAAGCAGGGTGTGAGCTTGCAGCCCCAGCATAAAGGCTTCTCAACAAGATCTTCTAAAAAAGGGTGGGTGAGGCAGCTTTAAAAAGCTGCAGACACCAAATCACAATTCTCTCCCAAAGAAAATGTGCGGAATATAAAAATACATGCATGATTTCTTTAGGGTATATCTACGACAATGTGAAAAATAAATACATTTCAGTGGAATGTTCCTTTAAGAAGAAGTTCATTTCGGCATATACCTTACATCATCATTTAACAAAACAGAGCTGGTACAGACCCATGTTTTGCAGGAAGCATGTGGTTTGCTGACTCATACCAGTTCAGAATGTAGTCCATTTTCAGTTATTAAAATAATTTACATTTGTATAACACTGTAATGTTAAATATTTTGTATTCTTAACTATTTAGATGTTAGTCTGCCCCTCAAATAAGACAGTCTTTTCCCCGGAACCACAACAGTAACTATGTAGATTAGCATATCCATTTAAAAAGGGACAATTTAGGCACCAGAATCACGACAGCTTAGTGATTAGGAGTCCCCTGGTGCCACTTAAAGAGTATACAAAACCAAGTCAAAACCATTTAAAAAGGGACACTGAAGGCATTGTAACAGTTTAATATCAGAAGTAATTGCAGTGTATGGAATCCACTGGCACCAAGCTTCCATGCAGATATAAACAGGATTTTAAAGTTTATTGTTCAAATTTAGTATTAGAATGACACAGTATCAATTAATGCATAAGGCAGCCCTCCACTTGTGTTCTCTATTCTACAACAGAGACAAGACACCTGGCAGATCATTAACAGAAGAAGACCGGGTACTCCTGCTACCCAGCATTTCAGCCAGTGGTGATGTTCGGCCCAGAATCGCTGGCATGGGCGATTTAAAATAGGGAGCAGTAGAGATATCCCTGGCAATAGAAAGATTTTATTACATACCCCCCCCGACACATGTAGAATGTGTCATGTAAGAGACTGGGCTATGAGTCATAGCTTCAGGCAGGGCCAGATTAAGAGTCCAGTGGGCCTGGTGCTGACAATTATGACGGGCCTAATTACAGAATCATATCGACCAAAAACAGTAAAACACTCCCAAGCATCATGTATCTGATGGAGATGGTGCTGGAGAGAAAGAAAACAGCAGCTATAAGACAACACATACCCTAGGCTAATCTCTCTCTAATTTATGTTTTCATCTTTCAAGTAAATCTATAACTCCTAACAGCAGTATCCAATCAAGCAGGAAGTCAATGGGCACTGTAAAAGGGTGTGCCTCTGACATAAATCACGTAACCTGCCAAAAGGGACGAACATGCCCAAAAAGAGGATATGTCTGCCCAAAGAATTAGAAGGCCAGCCTGGTATGAATGCATGCCAGGCTGCCTGCCAGTCATGCAGCTGGCCAACTAAGGGCATACTATGCAGACAGCACCCTGAGCTTGGCATAAATGCATCTAATGATGCGCTCGCTCAACGCTTTCTAAGGACTGTCCCCTAGCACTCGCTGGTCCACTTGTCTCCTTACATTCTTACTAGCAGGCAGAAGCTCCTGGTATATAGTCAGGGACAGAGAAAAGCTGTATGTAGTGAGTGTAGAAGAAAGGGAACATGCCACAGTGTTAGAGAGACCAAAGTCAGCATTACCTTAAAGGATCACTATAGGGTCAGGAACACAAACATGAATTCATGACCCTATAGTGTTAACACCACCATCTAGCCCCCCCTGGGCCCCTCATGCCTCCATAAATATAGCAAAATCTTACTGTATTCAAGCCTGAGCTGTAACTCTGCATGCTGTTAGACTCAGAAAAACAAGCAGTCTGCTGACATCATTAGAAGTGGTGGCCTAATCCAATCACAGTGCTTCCCTATAGGATTGGCTGAGACTGACAAAGAGGCAGATCAAGGGCAGAGCCAGCATGATTCAAACACAGCCCTGGCCAATCAGCATCTCCTCATAGAGATGAATTGAATCAATGAATCTCTATGAGGAAAGTTCAGTGTCTGCATGCAGAGGGAGAAGACACTGAATGTTTGGATGCATTTTAGTCAGCCATGACCCAGGAAGGATCTCTAACAGCCATCTAAGGAGTGGCCAGTGAAGTTATCACTAGGCTGTAATGTAAAGACTGCATTTTCTATGAAAAGACAGTGTTTACAGCAAAAAGCCTGACGGTAATGATTCTACTCACCAGAACAAATTCAATAAGCTGTAGTTGTTCTGGTGACTCTAGTGTCCCTTTAACTATATTCATTGTCAGCCAGTCCACACAAGTTTTGTTCCCATCCATCCCTCTTAAGTTTCCATACTTAAATAAGAGTATGTGAAAAGTAGTTAGGGTTGCCACCTTTCTTGGAAAAACACACCTTGCTAATTTGCATAATTAAATATGTATGGATGACATCACATGATGTAAATCACAAGGAGTGACATAAGAGAAAATGCTGTAAAATCACCAAAAAACTACTTAGTTTGATTTTGCTGTATAGATGGATTCCTCCCAGTGGCCCCATGTCTCCCAGTGCCCCCACGTGTCGATTATTCCAGGTCTCAGTGTTCCTATGTATCAGTGTCTCAGTGCCCGATGTCTCCCAGTGTCCCCTAGTGTCATGTCCCCAGGTCTCCCAGTGATCCTATGTATCACAGTGTCTCAATGCCCCATGTCTCCCTGTGTCCTCATGTATCCCAGGTTCCCCATGTCACTAGGAAGACGGGAAGACCTGGGGACACGGGGAGACCTAGGGACACGGAGACACCAGTGACACTGGGAGACTACGGGACTCTGGCTGGGATGCATGGGGACACTGGGAAAATAGGGGACACTTGAAGACATGGGGACACAGACACCAGGGACACAGACACTAGAGACACTGGCTGGGGGACATTGAGACATGGGGAAAAGGAGACACCAGGGCCACAGACACAAGGAACACTAGCTTGGAGACATGGGGACATTGAGACACTTGAGGCACTGGGAAACATGGAGGCACTAGGAGATATGGGCACAGTGAGACACTGGCAGACTGGGGGCACTGGGAGACTAGGGGGCACTGAGACACCAGGGACACTGTCTGGGAGACATGGGGACACTGTGTTCCCATGTGTCTGTGTCATAATGTCTCCCAATGTCCCTTAGTGTCTCAGTGTCCCCATGTCTCCTTGCAGCCTTTGCCCCATCCCTTACTTCCCTGAGCTGTAGGCTGTCTCTGCAGGGTGGGAATTGCTGTCTGGACTCTCTGTAACTGCACCCCTGCAGATCAGTGAGTATAGATAGGCAGGGAGGGATATGCTGGAACTTCCTATCCCTGCCTGTCTCCACATACAGCGACCCCTACTGGCCAGTGCTGGTATTGCATAGTAATCTCTTGTTTATACTGAGAAAAATACCAGCATTTGTATTGCCAGTCTCACTGCAATATTGGCACCAGCCAGGCAGCCTCAAATACTGGCTGTGCCAATAAAATAAAAGCCAGGTGGAATCCCTAAGAGTAGTGTGTGAAAAAAAAAATGTAAAAAAAAAAAATAATAAATTTTTTTTTTTTTTATAAATCAATGGGCCTATTCCATGGGCCTGGGCCTGGAGCTGCAGCTCCATCAGCCCCTATGTTAATCCGGCCCTGGCTTCAGGATTGGGCAGATCAGCCAAGGTAAACTACAGGTGATACTCGAAAAATTAGAATATCGTGCAAAAGTTCATTTATTTCAGTAATGAAACGTAAAAGGGGAAACTAATATATGAGATAGACACATTACATGCAAAACAAGATAGTTCAAGCCGTGATTTGTCATAAGTGCGATAATTATGGCTTACAGCTCATGAAAACCCCAAATCCACAATCTCAGTAAATTAGAATATTACATGCAATCAATAAAACAAGGAGTGTACATAGAACAATATCGGACCTCTGAAAAGTAAAAGCATGCATATGGACTCAGTACTTGGTTTGGGCCCCTTTTGCAGCGAAAATTTTACTGCCTCAATGCGGCGTGGCATGGAAGCTATCAGCCTGTGGCACTACTGAGGTGTTATGGAAGACCAGGATGCTTCAATAGCGGCCTTCAGCTCTTCTGCATTGTTCGGTCTCATGTCTCTCGTCTTTCTCTTGGCAATGCCCCATAGATTCTCTATGGGGTTCAGGTCAGGCGAGTTTGCTGGCCAATCAAGCACAGTAATCCCACTGTCATTGAACCAGGCTTTGGTGCTTTTGGCAGTGTGGGCAGGTGCCAAGTCCTGCTGGAAAATGAAGTCAGCATCCCCATAAAGCTCGTCTGCGGAAGGAAGCATTAAGTGCTCCAAAATCTCCTGGTAGATGGCTGTGTTGACCCTAGACTTAATGAAGCACAGTGGACCAACACCAACAGATGACATGGCTCCCCAAATCAACACAGACTGTGGAAACTTCACACTGGACTACAAGCATCTTGCAGTGTGTGCCTTTTCATTCTTCCTCCAGACTCTGGGTCCTTGGTTTCCAAATAAGATGCAAGAGTTGCTCTCATCATTAAAGAGGACTTTGGACCACTGAGCAACAGACCAGAAATGCTTTTCTTTAGCCCAGGTAAGACACTTCTGACGTTGTTTGTTGTTCAGGAGTGGCTTGACAAGAGGAATACGATATCTGAAGCCCATGTCCAGGATCCGTCTGTGTGTGGTGGCTCTTGATGCACAGACTACAGCCTCAGTCCCATCCTTGTGAAAGTCCCCAACACTTTTGAATGGCCTTTAACTGACAATCCTCTCCAGGCTGCAGTTATCCCTGCTGCTTGTGCACCTTTTTCTTCCACACTTTTCCCTTCCACATAACTTTTTTTTAAATTATATTTTTATTTTGCATTTTCATCATAAGCGTTACATGACGTATAGCGTTTTGATAATCAGTATGACATATAGTATGATATTCAGACTTCGTACAAAAGATTTACAAATGAATAACAGTTTAGCCTTTTACAACTTTTTACTAATAATAAAACATTTTATGTTTGCAACTTTATTAACATTTGTTGTCCTGTTAGTTTCCCTCCTATGACTCTGCGAGTGTGCTCGTGTATTCGTTATATCCTCACTCTATTGTGTATTAAGGCTAACACCCTAGGTGTAATTTTTGAGATAGGCTTTCCATGGTTCCCACATTGTTTTACACAACTGCGATTTCCCTAGTGTAGACATCCTTAGTGTATATATCTATATCATCAATCCTCCTGTACCATTCTCTTCTTGACGGTCTTTTACTAGTTTTCCAGAGCCCTGCTATTACTAATTAAGCTGCGGTAAGGAAGTAAAGTATTAATGAATTTCGAAACGTGTGCATAGTTACAGGGATGTTGTAGAAAAGAAGTGATTCGGGTGTAGCTGGGATAATTGTGCCACTAAGTTTGCCTGTAATCCGTGCTACCTCTCTCCAGAACCCCACTACTCTGCCACAAGACCACCATATGTGTTGGTATGTGCCTCGTTCTTGCAGACATCTCCAACATAGCGGTGAGTTATCGGTATCGTATTTGTTGGCATCTACAGGTGTTATATACCACTGGGAAAGAAATTTAAAGTTTGGTTCTTGTATTGTTATGCTAGAGTGTGATTTCATCATTTTAGTGAAGATAATATGCCATTTCTTTTCTTCTATCGGGGTTGATAACCATTGTTGGTGTTTTGCAGTGAACCAAGGGAGTGTGTTGTTCGTACATTCTTGTAGTAGTTAACACTTAGATACTATTTTGGTTTTCGGCGGAATGGAGCAGAGCTTTTCAAATTGGGTCTCTTCTCTTGGCTGCCAGTGTAAGAGTCCTTCTTTATGTAGAAAATGTTTTAGCTGATGATATTGGAATGTTTGAGTCAGGGTTGGATAGTTTGTGCCCGTGATGTCTGTTAGTGGTAATAGTCCGTCCTTAGTGACTAGGTCTCGTAATGTTACATTTCCGTCCCCAGAGTTAGGTATGGTCTTGCTCATATTCCTGATGTCCCTGCCTACTGGAAATCTTGGGTTGTGAGCAATCGGGAATCGTGGCGATGGTGTCGGTGTGAAGTGGCGCAGTGGATTTATATTTGCCCATACTTCAAGAGTGGCACCTATGGTGGGTAGGTCTCTTGGGGAGTTTCCCTTGCCTGTCAGTAAGGTCCAAGGGAGATATTGAAGAGGAGTTGCTACTTGAGATTGTTCTATTTGAACCCATGCCTTAGTGCCTATCTCTCTTGACCATTCTAGTATCCTCCCTAGGTGTATTGCCTTATGGTAATTTTGGATGTGTGGGCATCCCAATCCCCCTTTCTCCTTTGGTTTGGTCAGTACATTGAGGGCTATGCGCGGGCGCTTTTTCGCCCATATAAAAGTTGTGAGTATCGACTGGATCGAGCGAAAGAAGGCAGTCGGGACATGTATAGGGATAGTGTTCAGTAGATATAAAATGCGTGGTAGAATATTCATGGATATAATGTTTATTCGTCCCATCCATCGAAAATGTGGTTTATCCCATCTGTCTAAGTCTTTTTTGATTGTCGTAAGTATGTCATGGAAATTTTCTCTATATAGGGTTTTGTGAGTGTTGGTTATTTTTATCCCGAGATATTTGATGGAGTTGGGAGCCCATTGGAACGGGTATTTGCGCTGCAAGCTATGTACCTGTCCAGGGGTTAAGTTAATGTTGAGAATTTCACATTTATCAATGTTGGATTTTGAAGTTAGAGACTTTACTATACTCGGTTAGGGCCATTGTCAAGTGGGGCAAACTGTGTAGTGGATTCACAATGGTGAATAGTAAGTCATCGGCAAAGGCCGACTTTTTATATTCGTGTTGGTTGACCCTGATGCCTTGTATATCAGGGTTGTGTCGCACTGCTTTCAGAAGGGGTTCTAGAGATAGAATAAATAGGGGGATAACGGGCATCCCTGCCTGGTGCCGTTACTTATCTTAAATGGTTTTGAAAGTTGGCCATTTACCTTTAGGCGGGCTGTGGGACGAGAGTAGATGGCTCTTATCCATTGGATCCATCTGTTGCCGAATCCTAACATCTCAAGTGTGGTTATAAGGAAGGCCCAGTCCACCCTGTCAAAGGCCTTTTCCGCATCTATTGCCAGGAGTAGTGTTGGGGTTTGTGTATATGAAGTGCAATGAATTAAATTTATAATTTTGGATGTGTTATCTTTTGCTTCCCTAGCAGGAACAAAGCCTGCTTGGTCTGGGTGGATTAGATCTTGGAGAAATGGTTTAAGTCGCAAGGCCATCATCTTAGTAAAAATTTTTATATCCACATTTATGAGCGATATTGGCCTATAACTGGCGCATTTCTCCAGATCTTTCCCTGGTTTGGGTAACAGCGTAATTGTCGCCTCTAATGCCTGACTCGGTATATGGTTGTGGTGTGGGATAGAGTTGATCGCTTCTAGCAGGTGTGTATTAAGTTCTGCTTGAAACATCTTATAATAGGAGGCCGAGAACCCGTCCGGATCCGGGCTCTTGTTATGTGGTGTCTGTTTCAGTGCCAATTTGAGTTCATCTAGTGTGAAGGGTTCTTCTAATGATCTTGTCGCCACTGGAGGCAGAGTTGTGTCGAATTTGTTCTCCAAGAATTTTCTTAAGTCTTCTATGTTGGGTCCCTTCTCTTTCAGATTATATAGTGAAGTGTAATGTGTGGAATGTATTGGCTATTTCTTCCGTGGTGCATGCGAACGACTCATCTGAGCGTTTGATTTTGGGAATGTACGTGAGCGCCTGCTTTTGTTTAAGGGCTTGTGCGAGTAGTTTGCCGCACCTGTTTCCCTGCGCATTATATCTGTGTTTTGTCCATAGGATGGCTTTCCGTGCCTTATCTTGTAGTAGCGAAGTAAGTTCCGTCCTATGGGCAATTAGTGAGCAGTAACTTGCGTCAGTCATGTTAAGTTTGTGAGAGTTTTCTAGTTGTCTAATTTTTTTGTAGAGTTCCTCAATCTGTTTATTTTTTTCCCGTTTGATTTGGGCCCCCCATTTTATTAGTTCTCCCCTTACTACTGCTTTATGTGCTTCCCATTGCACAAAGGCAGAGGTGTCTGGGGTTTTATTTTCTTGGAAGTAGAGCCTGATTGTGTTCTGTATCGCTTCTCTAACGGTTTTTGTTTGCAGCAGGTTGGGATTGAGTTTCCATAGTCCCTTGGGTTGAGGGAGGGAAGGGACAGTGACTGTGAGGTAAATAGGAGAATGGTCCGACCAGGTCATTGGGCCTATGGAGGTGTGTGTTACCAGGCTTAGGTCTCTGTGAGAAATCAGGAAGTAATCTATTCTAGAATAAGATTTGTTCGGGGTTGAGTAGTGTGTATAGTCTTTAGTTGTTGGATGATATATCCTCCAGCAGTCTGCTAGTTGATGTGTGTGGATGATGTGTTGCATTTGTAATCTTGTGGCTGTGAGATGTTTACTGCTAAGAGACGTGCTATCTTTTTTGGCATCTAGCGAGACGTTAAAGTCTCCCCCCATGATAAGGAAGCCATTTGTATGTTGTTTAATTTTAGCCATGATCTGTCTGAGTGCCCCGCATTGGTGTTTATTGGGGAGGTATATAGAGACAAGAGTAATTGGGTGTGTCCCCACCGTGCCCTGTAATATGATAAATCTGCCTGATTCGTCTGTGATGTGAGTAGAGTAAGAGAAAGGTACGTTTACCCCTATCCTCTGGATTTACTCTTGTTATAATTATTATGGTACACTTGTTTGAATTTCGGGTGTTTAAGTTGTGGTGCATTCGGGCCTTTTAGATGAGTTTCTTCGAGAAATGCTATGTCTGTTTTATTTTTCACCAGGTCCGTTAGCACCATTTTTCTTTTTTCTGGAATATTAAGCCCTCTGACATTTAGGGAGCATATTCTCAAAGATCCCATGTTCCTAAGTCTGTCTATTCGAGGCGCTTTGTTGAGTGTAGGATAGTGTTGCTTGTATCTAGAGTTATGAGTGTGTGGTGCTTACGTGAGTACGAGGATACTTTGTGGTGGGAGAGAGTATGTTTGAAGGCTTGGTATATGAAATATCACAGCACAGGAGTTTAACAACAAATAATTCTAAAAGAAAAGAAAAATAACTATTTACAGTTTTAACTAGAGTATTTATCGAACTTGGCGTCCTACGAGGGGTAGTTCCAGTGGGAGGCTGAACTTCCTCGTGTATTAATAGAGGCCTGAAAAACGTTGCTATATAGGTTTATATTATGGGATAGTCTTTCCAGACCCCTATAAAGGAGACGGTACAGTTCCCCGAGTGTATCCAGTAATTATATACTGGCTCAAGGATAGTTATTACACAAAAGCAGAAACGTTGAGCTTTTAGGTAGGTACCGCTCAGGACCTCAACTGGTCCTAATTTGTGTCCGGCGGGAGCGTGGACACTACGACTAAAAGTGATATGTTCACTTCGGGTTTAAATCAGGGGTAGGTCAGCTGGATGAAACCTCGGCACCTATGCAGCTTCCCCTTAGGCGGAAAGGTTTCACTTTGCATTGTAGTACTGGACGAGTACTGGGCTCGATTATTATTAAATTTTATCGTGTTAGACCTGTAATGCCTGATTTTGTGGTTTTAACCTATCTTGAACCTAAAATAACATTTCTAGGTGAGGCCTTACAGATCCCAATGCTATGAACATTAGTTAACCAAAACATTAATTGTACATTTGTACCAACTTATCAGCAGTTCCATAGAACTGATTTCTACTGTTCATAGTTACCGCTTCCACAGCCCTTGAGATGGGCGATTTCAGAGTTAACAGTCCGACAATGTAGATGTGCATTATCACTGTGGGTACTATGCCCATGCTATATGTCCTTTCGTCTGCACTCAATTTATTTTCCTCGGGGTCATTTGCGGTCTCTTCGGTCTCATGAAAGGCGATGCAGGTGGGGTCTTCCAAGTCGTTCTCCTTCTTGCATCCGCAGCTTGACCTTTCATTCTTTGAGGATGAGGTTGAATTGATTCGGTTTCTGTTATGTCGTACCAGTCCTGAATATCAACATTGGGTATACCCAGGCGCTGTGTGAAAGCCTCTGTTTCCATCACCGATGTTAGTGTGGCTTGGATACCCTGATGTGCGGCTGTCAGTGAGAAAGGATATCCCCATCGATATTTGATGCAGTGCCTGTGTGAGTGGTCTCAGGGTTCTTCTGCCCCTCAAAGTTAGCCACGCCAGATCTGGGAGAAGCAATATTTTTGTGTTGTTGTACATGATGTCTGCAGTGTCTGATGGCTTCCTTTTCAGAGTAGTAGTGTACTCTGCATATCACATCTCTGGGGGAGTCATGTGGAATAGGTTTAGGCCTCAGCGCCCTGTGGGCTCTGTCTAGGAGAATATGCGTTTCCTCTGGCCTCTGTAATATTTTGTTAAAGAGAGATTGCAAGATCTGGTGTAAATCTTCACGTGTCCCTTGTGACTCTGGTAATCCCCTTATTCTTATATTGTTCCTGCGTCCTCCATTGTCTAGGTCTTCTGTGTTTCTCATTATGTATAGAAGTTTGTTATCTCTGCAACTTTGGTTGCGTTCTAATGCCTGGACTCTGTCTAATAATTTGTCTCTGTCTTCCTCCAGGTCCCCCACCCTGCTGTTTACTTGCCTGATCTCGGAAGACAGCGAGGAAATCTGGTCCTGCATTGAAGATTCCAGTTTAGATGCCAGATCGTCTTTAGAAGGTAGGTTTCTCAATATATCTTTCATGTCTGCCATCCCCCATTCCGGTGTTGCATCCGATCCTTCCAGGCTATGCGGGGAAGAGCACTGTGGGGAAGATGGCGTCCGAATGCCTTCGTCTAGGCCGTCGCCTAGAATCTTCACAGTGTCGCGGAAGTATTTGTCCAGACCACCGGGATTTTTCTGTGTGCCCGGGTCCGGGAGGCTCTGGGAGGGTTGAGGTTTCTTTTTATTGCCCATATTGTCGGCGTTTTTGTCCAGTTTTATCGCCGCCGGCCGGGAGCTCTTATTAAGTGCGTCCGTTCACATTAGGTGTCAGGCCACGCCCCGTTCCCTTCCACATAACTTTTTATTAATGTGCTGTGATACAGCACTTTGGGAACATTCAACTTCCTTCTCAATTATCTTTTGAAGCTTTCCCTCCTTCAATGATGGTTTTCTGCACAACTGTCATGTCAGCAGTCTTCCCCATGATTGTGACTCCTACTGAACCAGACTGAGAGACCATTTAAAGGTCCAGAAATCCTTTGCAGGTTTTATGGCTTACCTAGCTGATTAGAGTGGGACACTGTGAGCCTAGAATATTGCACCTTTTCACAATATTCTAGTTTACTGAGATTGTGGATTTGGGGTTTTCATAAACTGTTAACTATAATCATTCCACTTATGACAAATCACGGCTTGAATTATTTTGCTTTGCATGTAATGCGTCTCTCGCATATATTAGTTTCCCCTTTTACATTGCAATACTGAAATAAATGAACTTTTGCACGATATTCTAATTTTTCAAGTATCATATGTATATGGGGGAGCCTTGTATATGGGGGATAGTCTAACAAATACTATTGTATTCAGCAAATTCCTTCCAGGGGTTAAAAAGTTAGCTGGAAGTCATTTGTGACCGGCCGCAAGCACATTTTCAAGCCCAAAACAGTTCCATAGATTTGGGCTGTGCGGTCAATATATTTCACACTGAAAAAATTACTAAGTCCCATCGCCAAACGGGACAGTCTCTGCGGCTGCAAACTCAGTGGAGGAGAAGGTAAGGGTCAGCGGTGTTCGTTGAAATGTGTAGCCAATTTCAGCTCCATGAATTTGGCTACACACACACCGCTAACCGCGTTCGGCAGAATAAAGATGGCCGCCGCCACGTGTCTGTTTGTACGAACGGTGGCCACCCAGCGGTCGGCAATTTACCTACAGCAACCTCCCAGCCTGGGAGGTAGATTAGCCGCACACTAACCACTTCTGGGTGGTCCGCCTGTGTAATAATTGGTTCAGTAAGCCCCATTTAGTGAACCAAGTGGGAGAAAGCCAGGAACAGAGTATATTAAAGGCTTGTGGACACTGGAGACACCGTCTTAAAGGGGCATTGTCCCCAACAAGTCTCAATATGCCCACATACAGTTCTTAAAGGGCCATACACAGTCCAATAGCAGTCCATACGCTGTGCTTAAAAGGGCCTGTAGCAGCACAATAAAAATCCATTATGCCCAACCACTGTATTTAAAGGGTCAAACCTCCCAGGGACCATAATCACATGGCAAGAGGCTGGCAAGTAGTCCGCTCCAGGCACAAGTGGCGATGTTAATTTCGCCACAACCATGATTTTAGGAATTCTGTTTTAGTCCATTCCCTCATTCTGTCAAGCCTATTTTCCAGGTAATAAATTATGAATGTGTGGCAAGCCCAGACCCCAGATCTTTGCTCTTGTAAGTGTGCTATAAGTGATTCTAGTGTGCCCTAGAAACAAAAATGCTCTCCTGAGCCTGGAGAAGAAGATCATTAGATGACTCAGGAGAGCCTGTAAAAAGTATTACGTGTTTGGCAGTGCCATCATTTTAGCAATATTAATACGACCCAAAATAATGTTTTTTTGTTTTTTTTTTAATTTAAATTCTTGCTCCCCCCTCCCCAATGTTAGCGTCTTAATATTGCTGCCTAGTAACACTTTCGAGTGGCAGTCATTCAAATTGCCACTAGAAGCGCTTCCTAGTCCTTTTATGCACAGTGTGCAGCACTGGCGTCCAGGGTCTCCGCACCCTGCATGGAGTTGCTAAACATTCACCATAGAGATGCATCATAGACATACATGGATTAAATGAGGAAATGCAGTTTGGTGCAGCGTTTTGCAGCAAATGTGCAATTGCCTCCCAATACTTTCCTATCGGAAAGAATTGGATTGACAGATCTCATTTGAGGCAGAACCAGCAGCAAAGAGACCGGCACAGGAGAACAAGTGCGTTTAACAGACTTTTCAGCACACAGAGAGGGGGGCCAGGAATTTAAACAGCTGTACAGGCACTATAGACACTATGGTGTTCCTTTAATGACATCATTCAAAACAATGTTGGTAATGTAATAACCACTGCACTCTTAAAAGTATATATCATTCCTAAATACAGAAGGATAGTCTCCATTTGGGAATCCTGTTGCAACCAAACATTGCAAGACAAGCAAGGTATAAAATGGGATTGAGTTTACATGCAAAGCTACTTCCGGGTACTTCTACCATCCATAACACATCCTTGCAGGTAGGTAGCCTAGCCGATTGTGTTGCCTGATGACACTACCATCGCACTGCAGAATTGCATAACTGGCATGCGTCCACTAACACACTGCCATCCATAACATTTCAGCATCGATTTAATGACACATGAAGGTTTAAAACTCACTTTACCTTAAGGATTTATTTTTCTTGGCTAAGACAATGTAACATTCTAAAAAGAATTGTTCTGCATTAAAACCAAAACTTAAGCAATTTCTAATTTTAGAAGAAGATCAAAGGGAAAAAAGGCAGAACTTGTAACTTTTTTTTTTTAAACGTCATTTGATAAATATTTGACATTTAAAAGGAAAATGGAGCATCATAGAAGGTTAAAGCGGCACTGTCATGCCAAACTTACCTTTCCTCAATCTCTTCCTCTTCTCCCCTTCTCTCGGGATCTGTTCTTTTTTTCTTCCTATCTTCTTTAGTTTTCTTTAAAATCACAAGACAAAGTAGGGACTCTTTGCCTTATGGAGGATTCCTCCGCTTGACCAGCTCTGACCAGCTCTGTGCAGTCATAAATATCAGCCACTACTCTAAGAGCATTCTATAATGATCTAATCCAGGGGTAGGCAACACCTACAGCAGTCCAGATGTGGACAAAGCATCATGGGAGATATAGTCCAAAACATCTGGAGTGCCAACGTTTGCCTACCCCTGGTCTGTACTAATCCGTAGAGACATAGGGGATCTTCTGTGTAAGAATAATGAATCGCCATGTTCAGCCAATTGGGTGCTTTAAGAAAATGAGACTCAAGGCTTTACTATGAGAAGTGCTCAGCAACGCTGATAAATGGAATAATTAATTTAAATTCTTCAATAAGTGTATACAGTAGCAGAGAGGTGATGATGGCCAAATGTAAACATTGCGGATTCTCTGAAATGTTTTACATGACCACACAAAATAAAAAAAATAAAATCACTACCGTAACACTGCTTCCAGGAAGTTAAGTTAAGCCTGTACGTTTAAATTAAACTACATGCATTTATGGGGTGGGGTGCATTGATAAAAACAAATCTTGTGACTCAAACACATGACACCTCAGTAAAGTGCCACATGTAACCTTGGGCATCCAGTTGATAAACCATGCTATACTGATTAAATAACATTTACTGGTCTATTATTTTGCAGCCTGGCAGGATTAATGTACAACATCTACTCCTTTTAATAGCCATGTCTCTGTATAAACAATGCATGCTATTACATTAGTCTTTTTAAACAATAAGTAACAGAGTTAGATTACTTTTTTCACGAGAACATGTAAATGGTAGCATACTGGTAGCCCCCACCCCCAAGGACAAGGGAATACAATGTTTCAAGAAGGACGGCAGTTAACATTCCAACCAACAAACGCTTTCAATGAAGGCCAAATTCTACGGAATATATATATATAAAAAAATTGTTCTAATACCAGAACTGATGGAAAACCAAACCACACACAATTTTTGGGCCCTATATAGAGCAGAGTTAACTGAAAGGTAGATTCTCAGCTGCTGTACATCTCCCACAATGCTTTGCCAGCTGTGGATCTACCATTTATCCATCCCTGCAGGGCTGTGTTGGATGCAATTAGTGAATATAGGCATGGATTTGTAGGGAGTGTGTGTGTGGGCGCGCGCACGCAATGTTGGCATTTAAATGCAGACATTCACATACACTGCCACACATGTACGTGAACATTGCCAAGCACAGAAACACACAAATACCCAGAAACATATACACAGACTGACCTACATGTACCAATCCACAAACATATGCATAACTACATAGAAATATCCTCTGTCTCAGTCCAGCTCTCCCTCCTACAGTCTTGTGGTGTGCACTTCAACTGTCTGCTCAGGGCCCCATTGTGTCCTTTTCCAAAGGAGGCTGCTATTGGCAATCGGAACTATCAGCAATGCCAGCATTACCACAAGGTGCCTATGACGCCTGTGCCCTGTATCTCTTGATGGGCAGTTGCAGGCCCTCGGACCCACTCGGGCCCTGGTGCTGCCACAACAGCTGGCCTTGCCGGTAGTCCTGAGCCTACTGACCTCATTCATTGCTGCAGGTATACCAAAGAATCTGGAGGAAGAAGAAATAGTCTCTCTACCTCTTAGCACACTTCAAACTATACAGTTTAATACAGCACAAGTGGCACAATATTACTGGGGAAACAGTAAATTATATTTTAAATACCAGTGAAACACTGTTTATCACATTTATAGAGAAAATTTCAATTGTTTTATTTTCATTTTTTTTTTTTTTTTTTTACTTACAAAAAAATAAAACAACCACGCACAGGACACCATAACTACTTAATCTCAATTAAGTTAGTGTATGGAGGTCCTGTGCGTCATCTTACTTTAAATGACCAGTATAGCATTAGGAATACAAATGTGTATTGCCAACACTATAGTGCCCTGTTTGCCGTTTAGTTTTTCGGCCTTCGCAGTGCCAGTCTCACCCAGGAAGCTTCACTTAATTCGCAGAAATCTCAGACAATACAATGCTTTTCCACAGAAAAGCACTGGGAGGTTAGTCCTGATGTGCAGCAAAATGACCGTCTGAAATATCAGAGATTTACCCTTCAATTTCCGTGGCAGTGCTTCCAATGGCTGTCAGAGCGACGGCCACTAGAGACATTTAAAACCCTGAATGGTTTCACTTGCAGGGTAAAAAAAAAACCAAAAAAAAAAAAACCCCACACTC